CGAACTATTTGGGTCACAGGAAATTCACATTGCGCAATCGCAGTTGTGACATACCACAAGAGGTGCACATGCGTGTGACGTCACATCACTTCCTGGGACTGGAGATCTGCTGAATCACTCTTTTTGTTTGTTTTGAAAAAATCAAGAAAAAAGGACACAGTTATATCTGATCAATAGTGTTTAAGTCTTATTATACAATCATTTCGCTACGGTTGGTAATATCAGCGTAATTTTTGGACTGACAGCCCACGAGACGATTGAAAGAGAGAGAGGGTCTCATTCTCGTCTGCAAGACTTGGCTCCGAAAACGTGATGACTAGTAACATAGAACAATGAAGAATGTTCTAATAATCGCCTCCGCCTATAAGGGTTTGTTTTGATCGGAAAGCATTCATTTACAGTTGATTATTACATACGAATAAGTCGAAATGGAGTAAGGTTGACAATGAGATTTTCCTTTGTTTGAGTGTTGCCTTTGTCTCTAAGGGACAGGACGGACCTTCTTCCTTTGTTTACATTTTTGAGGTGGAACATTCCCAGGCTAAGTGGACCTAGCATTTTTGTATAAACATACAGACTTGACAATAACATCATCAATATGTTGAAAAAAGTGTTTACAGACAGTTTGGTGCAGATAGCTATATTGCTCAGTTTATTGAGGATTGATTTGGATAGTTACCTGAACTCGGACTATGGTAATTATCCTGAAGTCCAGGAAATCATTCTTGGGAATAGCCTGGCATATACACAAACTCAGTTTCACAACATACCTTGGCAGCAAGGATATACACTGGGACAATTCCACCCTAAAGGTTTATCAAATGATAATGATAATTTATTAAATTCTATTCTCAGTGATCTCTATTCAGGCAATGACATTTATAATACATATAACACAATAATATCCGCTTACTTGGTTGATGTACAGCAGCCAAATTTAGGAGAAGAACAATCTCTGCAAAATGTTCCACAACAGGGTAGTGCACAAGGGTTACAAATTAATGGTTCAAATACACAAAATCAGACATCCCCTAACATTGATATTATCGAACCAGCACAAGCAACAACACATGGAGAACTTCAGGAGGGAGGTGCTATGCAGTTAGACCTAGCAGGATCAACAGGAGATGAACTTTCCAAAGAGGTACAGATATCTGGCATATGTAATAAAATTTAAAAAGTAGTGTAGGAATTTTTTTTTTTTAATTTTTTTTTTATTTATTTATTTTCTGTTTTGCTTTCATTTTCCTTTTAGCACCTGTAAAGAATTACATTCAGGAAGAGCATTTTCCAACAGGGTGCTTTTAGATTATTTAAGATGGTGTGTAGATTCATCCATCAAGTAATTGGCAAAAGCACAAAATATGAGCTTTTTTGCTATTTTTCCTAGCAAGCCTTGTGCAAACACTGTATTGTAAAGTAAATCAAAGTGTCTTATACTAAGTGTTAATCCCAGAATTTATCTGCTTGTTTACGATACATTGGTGCCGTATACCAGTGGGCAAAGTATTTCAGTGTAAAGTAGGTCTGCAGCACACTTTGTTTTCACTGACATTTCAAATTCAGAAGTGCACAATTTCATTCTTCTAATTATGCAGTTTAAGTTTTAATTTACTATAATCTGCATGGTTCCAAGCATTTGCATAAGCTGTCAAGTCCTCATTGGAAAATTATCCACCTCTTCTACAATGAATAATGCCACAATTTACTTCAGTATTTTGTCAAGATTTTGTAGGCGTTAGGCTTACATACTGCACCAAACGCGAAATGTTGTATTACAAATTCTAAACAACAGTTTGCAACTGAAATTTAGTATGTTAATTCTTAGCTAGTATATGATATTGTATCTATGTGCAAAATTTGAGAGTTTTAGCTGACGTTGGTTGTCTGCTAGCCCCTACAAATTTGAAAATAGACTCCGTTTTGTCGATATCTTAAATGGTGATTCTAAGTTAATTATTGGATTAAAACATGCTGAATATCTGTAAATTAAATATTTTGATTTAGCATAATAATTTGAGAACATAAAACCAACTTCGTTACTGTAGGTTCGTTACTGTAGAGTTCAACAGTTGTTTCACAGTGTTTTTAATATTATCTTTAAAAAAAAAAACAACTAAATGCCAAAAATAATTGACCATTTTTGATTTCTGCTGAGAAGCCCTACCTTGGGAAATCCCTGATATGTCATATGTTATTTTTAGAACCTGATTCAGAGGTTTGCCTTTCTGTCTGTATGGTGCTGCCCTCTGAAATTGTTGTGTGGACCTATTGTTGTTTGATGGATGTTCAAGCTATGCAACCACCGACTTAAAAAAGATTACATCATTCTTCTGAAGCTTTGAATTAACATGGAAGAATAATTATAATCCTGAAATAACCTTTTAGCAGGAAAAGGAAGATACTAATAATACTGTCCTTCAGGGTGAATTTATTGGGTACACTTTTATCAGACCCTTTACTTTTAACTTAGGAAAAATCAACATATGCACTTTATTATTATTATTATTATTATTATAAATTTATTAAAAGCAGGAGAATATAGTGCGAGCATTGCTAACTGTTCATGAAATAAATTAATAGTAAGTTGTGGTGAGTTGTCACACAACACATCAGTCTGAACCAGGTGTGGAGGTCCTTCGAATTCACAGCTCAGTATGATAAACTATCACCTTTTGTTAATGTGAAGGGTTAATTTGACATCAGTTGCACAACCTTGTGTTCTTTGCACTTGGTATAACCCACCATTGGTTGTCATGTGATCGTAACGCAAGGACTTTTATCCTTGTATCTCTTACATTAGATAAGGGCAGTGTTTCTTTAAAAAGAAATAGAGGCTAAGGGACCATTCCCACAGATATTTGGATCGAACTATCTCCCTTGGGAGTCTCACTAAATTGCTATCATCTTAACTGGCTTAAATGTCTGTCATGCCTAGCCAAGCTGTTATGGGGTAATTATCTTAACATCCTAGCTGATTCCGTAGGCCTGACAGACATTTAAGATGGTAAGTTGATAGCAATTTAATGAGACTCCCCAGGGAGTTAGACCGATCCAAATGGATCGATCTAGGTATGGGAACCCAGTCTTAGTTTTACACAAAGAAAAACTGGAGACATGGGGCTTATTATTTCTTAGCTCACAGTAATATTGAACTTACAGTAATATGATGCTCATACGCTAGCAACTGATACTACTTTGCTTTGTTAGAAGCAGAAGCCTCAAATAGTCACTATTTCACATTTGATTTGAATTTAATGCTGTTGGGAAAAATACTAGATCTAGACTCAGAATAGAAATTATCGTACTGGCAAGATTGATCAGAATCAGTGGGGATTCTCCCTAGGCACAGTCAGTGTAATCAGTTTTATTGTCTGACACACCCCTCACAAAGCAAGATAAACTACATCATGGACCACAAACTTTTCCAGACTTTATCCAAGTCTTTTAAGTTACAAGGGGTATACTAGATAATTAAGCTCACTAAGCTGATTACATTGACTGTGTCTTATTGAGAATCCCTGTTGAGATATATCAATCCTGCTAGTACCATAACTTCTATTCTATTCTATTCTTCTATGGATAGGAAGCAGTGCTGATTATTGTGTTTGTTGTCTTTCATCTGATTGTGTTAGAGAGCACGTAGTGCTCCCAGAATTTAAATTTTCTTCAATCTCAACTCTTCCAGCACAACAATGTTACCACACAGGATGAGGGTGACTGTTTAGAAAAGTTATATGTTAACTTATTTGTCTCTTTACGTGTTTCATTATTATAGAAATTTTATTGTCGTTTAAAGAAGTGTCATTTCCTGCAAGGAATCGTGATGATGTCCCTGCTGGTAAATAGCGTTTTCAAAACTGATCACAATGCAGAATATGAATCATTTACTTCCACTTGATTTCCCAATGTGACTACTATTCAATACAGTTTTAACCATGACGTACTACCCTTTATGTGTAGTGAAATCATATTGTTATTTTAACAGTTTACATGATTTAATGTAAATGTTTATTTGGAAGTGAATCAGGTTTTGTGGGCACAAAATCAACATTTCCCTTTGGAAAGGAACTGGAATTACTTTTTTTAGAAAATTGAATTTGGGTCAGTGAATTTTCATGCCAGTTGATGCCCAGGTTGGGTGGCCCAGATGACCTCTTAGTTAAAAAGTATTTGGCATAGACAAGTAAAATAATGATATGCTGTGCCCATTGCAAAATTAAATTTTATATGTTCACATTAGTTGATAAACGTACAAATCAATATAATTAATGGATACAGCATATGATCATTTGTTTTCATTTGGAAGATTTCATTTGGAAGTGTATGCACTGCTAACTAATAAGAAGAAGCTGCAATTATATACTCAGTACACTGTATATGTATATTAAATAGTATTTGAAAGCATTCAATCTTAGCTGACAATTGTTGCAATTTGTCTAAGGTGACTAAAAAGTTGTAGCTGCTTTCAGCTTCGCTGTATAAGTCAGTTATGTAAAGAAAAAAATGTGTGTCACATAGTACTTGGCTCAAGACGTCATACTTACTGTCCAAGATCAGGTAGCTGATTATTTGCACCTGGTATTTGATACCCCTCCCCTTTTCAGCAATTCCACATATTCAGTATGTGTATCAGGTGTTATTTGATATCACTTATAAGTTATTACAATGTATATGGTTATAAGCCATATGCTCTGTTGAACTTTTGTATAAGATATGAAAGAAACAAATTTATTAATGAACAGAATTAAGTTTTGATTAAGCTAATGTTTATGAAACTGAACATTTGTAGTAGTGTGGTTGTGTCAGGACTCGGGAGGCAGCACTTGCTTGCATCATAAATAACTGTATTGAGCTGGACATAACTAGACAACAGAGCACCTAGAATCTTCACATTTAGTTAGGCACCAAAGGTTGGCTTCATAAATTTATTAAAGCACCTAAGGGGTCTTTGGAGGCTTTAAAACCCCAAACCCCTTCAAGTCAAGATAAATACTTTTGGTAGTCTGTAAATAGGTCTGAAGCATAAGCCTTGCCTCTCATGTTAGTTGGACCACCATCAATTTAAATTTGAGTGTAAAAGACTATTTTGGGGCAACAGGTCCAACTTGAAACAATTCAGTATCTAGTTTTTGTTTCTGTAAACGGTTCTTGATAAATGATCATGTGGATTCTGATATCATATCTGCAAACATATGCTACCAGCTGTCATGTGTAATCCAAATGATAAAATTCAATTGTCCCTTTACTGTTTATGAACTTCATTGGGTGGCTGTTTGGAGATAATCGGTCAATAGGAGCATTATGCCCAATGTTCTGCCTTTAGACATCAAGGGTACATGATAAAATGGACATTGATAATATCTATAATTTCAGAATATAATTTCATGGTTTATTGGTCTGCCTTCTCTATATTTACACACCGAAAGCATAACTCACTGATTATTGAAACTGGGAGAAGGTGGTTTTATAGTGATTAACTAACCCCTGTAACAGGAAGGTGCGTGTGGTTAGTGTGAGTCAGATGTCTTAGTCCAGGGGATTTGAAGAATTGGTCAGTGTTCTTTTTCCATATTGGGAAGTAAAAGGATCCTGAACCAGGAACACATTGGTAGTGGTACATGTGCCCTCTCAAGACTTATGTGATATTCAACCCTTAGTTCGTGATAAAGATTGCTGTGGAAAATTGAATGTGTATAGGGTCTATTGATGCTGGAGGACTGGGTCATTTAACTGTGTCAACATCTCATGTGATCTAACTTAAAAGCTGCTGACAAGAGATAATGGGACATTCCTTATACTACCTGGGATATAAGACACATTAAGGCGGACAGTTTTTGGTGCTTATGGCCATAACACTGCTGCATGACTTACCACAGCCACACTTGACCAACTTTCCTATGCAAATTTAAGTGGGAAGTTGTTGAAACAGGATTTTGGAAGTTTATACTGTAGGAAGGTTTTAATTATTGCCATGCTGGCACTCTTATTTTTAAAGGAGGCACTTACAAGAGATTTGTTTTGTTTTTGTTTGTTATGAGTCAAGAACATAGAACTCAGAAGAGGACTGGACTGAAAACTGAAGTCTTCATTTGGTTTTGAAAATTCCAAGTCTGTTCAGTTAAAGTTAAAAAAGGTTTTTTCACAATGTATGACTGTATCTTTGATCCTCGCTACCCTGAAAACATTGACCAGTTTGGGTATGTCAGCAGTCTTTACAGCCAGACGTCTATGAGAAAGAAAACAACAAGTTATACTGAAGAATACAAAAAAGATATTGGTTTTAAACTTCAGGTTTGTCTTTTTATTGATGTTATGGTTTAAAGATATGTGGGGCTTTTGTGTTATTAGAGTGGATCTCAACAGTTGTTACTTGCTTATTTTGACCTGACTTTGGTTGAGGCAAGTCAGTGAACATGTGTATAAGGAAAAATGATAAGGAAATGTTTAAACTGGATCTCACAATGCCATTTGCCAGAAACTGAGTTATTAAAAGATTATGAATTATACAATGTTTACATTTACATTACTACATGGGTAATGTGTGTATTCATGCCTGTGTATGTAATTTATACAATCGTGACCTGTCCATATCTTTCAGTATTTCTGCATTGTTTTTATTTGTCAGCTTCTTGGAACCATGTTGGTAAGGAAAACCACAAGATGTTGTAACAAAATTTAATTTGCATTATCTCTGATATTTGTCAGGATATATTTTTTTCCATTTTATTTATTTTTTTCATTTTTTTGTGATTTCAGGATATGGATCTCATAGACATACTGTGGCGGCAGGACCTGGACATGGGAGTTGCCAGAGAGATGTTTGATCCTAACCAGAGACTGGAACTAGAGAAAGAAAGGGAAGTGGAACTACAGAAGCAGCAACAAAAGGTATTGCAGTGCGTCTGAGGTGTTTGGCCAATTGATTTGCTCATACTTTTTTAGCAGTTGTAAGATTTTTTGTATCAGTGGCTTTTTGTTACCTGACATTACATATATTGTCAAAAAAATTGGGAAGATAACTTAAGTAAAAGGATTAAAAGTTATTTTCTAAATGTCAGATAGAAAGTTTATTCAGTGCAAAGTAAAGTAAGAAAAAACATACGTCAGTGAAAAGTTATGGTGCATTAAATTGAAAATTTATGTTATGAGCCAGAGTAAATGGAAACGAATTATAGAATTTAAAAAAAAAAAAAAAAAAAGAAACCGGACATCCTGTCTCTGAAGGCTTTTAAAACCTCCTATAATTATCTTTTAAGAAATATGGTGCTGTTTGTATCCTGTTAAGCATAAAAAAGATTCTCCGTGGCATTGTTTATTTTCAGTATTTTGTATCTGCTAGTGATCAAAATGCAAATGGTTTGCTTGTTATTATTGTGTTATAACATGAAATCAGCACACTCACAAATTAGATACTATATAAACTGTATGGATCTGTTCTTGCAATCACTTTGAAATATTCCACTATGACACCATAATGATGTATTGTGTAGGAACGAGAACTAGATGAGGAGACAGTGAAGCAAGAAAAAGAGGAGAAAGATGCTTGGGAAGATCTCACAAATTATATCATTGATGGAGAAACAGGTAAAGAAAATGGGATTTATTTCAGTGTATTCTTTTGTGTAAATAGATATATTCAGGATTGCACAAAAGGATTGAACTGTGAAGCAAAAGCTACAGTATTATCCACAGCATCTTGTCACTTTGTGTTACACTGAGTAAAATAAGTAAATGCACCATTTTATGTATGGAATAAGATAATTGGGTTCAATATGTAATGCTTACCGAATTGGGGTGTTTTTTCATCACCTAGGGGAGTTATTGCCTCTGCCCCCTGCAGAGCAGACTGAAAGTTCTGGACCTAGCACCACAGAAACACAGACCAATGAAAACACTACTGAGACTGTAAGCAGATACACTTTTATGTATTCTTGTTATTGCAAATGAACAAGTGCTACTCAAAATTCCTTGTAATCATTTTTATGTCATATATTTGACAAAAAAAAATGTTCAGCTAAGTGATGAAACAGTATAGTTCTTTTTAATTACATATGTTGAATTGCTTTTGTCTGTAGCCTCTCTTCCTGGAGGATGCCATGAGTTTGCTTCAAAATGATGGGACTAATAACTTGTCCATGAACAGCTGGATGGAAAACAGTACCATTCAAGATGAACTGGAAAAAGTCATTCTAGAAAAACAACCGGTATGTTTTCAAAATGATAGCTCGAACACAACAGGATTATTTCATGCATGTTTTAAAAAACTGAAATGAAATTGTTTTAGAGGGGGAAAGAATGCTGTTATCCTGTTTTTTCATGTAATTTTTTATTTCCTTGTTTCCATGTATTGAGACTTTTTTAGCATTGGAAAAGTTTGTCATTTGTTTATATAGATTGCTTGATGTATATAACTTTCTGCGAAACTATGCTTTTATGCATATATCTTAAAAATCCCTGGTGACAAACTCTGTGGCCTTCATGTTGTTTAGTAGTGATTATATATAAAGGAGAGAGAGAGAGAGAGAGAGATGTCCTGGTGTAGTGAAGATTAATTTTGTGGAATGGTAAGAGCCACTTTTTAACTTGGTCTTCTGATGCATTCTGCCCCATCCCCAACACACACCC